TAGTAGTTCAAGCTACATGCTAAACGGGTTGATAATTATGGGACAAAGGATCCAAATAGTGTAAATATCATGTACAAAAATATTTATGCTGAGATCAAAGACAAATAAACTGGTTTGTAACTTGCAGAGTGAAAAAATGTCTAGTATTCTTAGTTTTTTGAAAAGAGGAGCAGCATGGGAATACGAATCAGAGAAAGTGATGAGGCGTACTATTTTTTTCTGTAAGAGATATATTGGTTGCAGTAGAGTAGCATATGTATTTCCCCAGATTTCCAGGCAATATGTAATGTATGGTAGAATTAAAGAATTATATAAGAGAATTAGGATATTCCTAGGTACAAAAAGACGTAGTTGTGAAATTAATCCAATTTTTGGTGCGATAACTTTGCAAATTTTATCAATGTGGGCTTTCCATGACATTCTGGTCAATGGAGACGCCAAGGTAATTGACAACATATACGCCCTCTATCGGTGACCCGTTAATTTCCAGGCTGCCCTCAGTAGTGACCGATCGTTGTGGTGTTTTAATTATCATGTAATTTGTTTTTTCAGAATTAATAGTAAGTTTGTTAGCACTGCACCATTCACGAACCCTTTGAAAATCATTATCAATTTCTGAGAGATTGATTTTATTGTTTTGAATAAATTTAAATAGGTTAGTATCATCTGCAAAGAGTCGAAAATGAAAGGAATTGGTAGAGTTGGCTATATCATTAATATATATTAAAAATAAGATTGGGCCTAGAATCGACCCTTGCAGAACCCCGCAGGTAATAGGTCGTGGCAAAGATGAAGTGTTTTCAATACATACAAATTGTTGACAATGACGATGTACAATCAGTAATATGATGAGCTCCACTCAACAAAGCTGATCTAATAAAGATGGTGAAAATAAAGAAACCAACACTTACTTCAAAGATGACTCAATTTCTTCTAATTTATGCTGTATCAAATATTTATTACTTTTCACCAATGAATCTAGGGAAATAGTATGAATAATATATGTGGATATCATTGGATGAATAAAATAGTGAAAATATATCTAAATGTTTATCAAAACTTGTGACATTTTTTGTACAGCAATGACAGTTCACCACACTATGAATAGATTAATGAAAGTGTCCTTCACAAAGCAGGTGTGTTGTTACTATTCAGAACTTACTTTTCTCTACTTCATTGCAATCAGGATATTGTTCACTTGTACCCTTTGGTTTAGTATTCTCGGTTTTATAGAAGTCTTCATCGTTATGACTGGATGCATTAGGGATAGTTTCATTGATATACTTTCCACTGGTACTTGTAGTAGGATTATCAATTCCATTCGACCTGACTTGTGAAAAGCCTTCTGATTTGCAGCATCCAATTGTGTCTTGATAAACAACAGGTTGGTTTATAAAATCCATCCACTTTTTATGCTGAGGTGACTTTGTATCTGAACAACTTGATATAGTAACATCTGATGATTTTTCAGCCAGCTCATCAGGTGTGTCATGGCTAGCATTCACAGTTTTCATCCATAAACTTTGACACTGTATCGGCAAATTTCTAAGATTGTTTTCAGAATTCTTAGACTTGACCGTAGCTTTGTGGAAGCTTCTTTTAATTTTGTGGTCAAGGTTTGCAGCAGACTGAGTTGACATCTGACTATCTGATACGTCGCTCAGTGTTTCTGAGCAGTAGAGCACAGGCAAATGGTCAGATTTCCCAACTGTTGAATGAGCCCCTGAATTCAGATTGTGTGGCATTACATTTGGAGATGTTACAGCTATTAGTTGGCTGACACTTGCTGCATTCTTAAAATCATTTGCACAGCCGTTTTCTTCATATTTATGGGAATTTTTCAAATTATCCTAGACAAAAGAAATAGCAAAGTTTGTCTGATATATATTCAGAATGTATAGTACATGTATGCGGTAAAACTAAAATGCAATATACCCCGAGAAAGTGTATTGAAGTCAAAATATGGTATACTAGCCCCAAATTAAAACACCTCCATGGTAGCAATGGATCATCTATTTTTGGCTGAGCTATAATGTGCCAACTTGAATTGTAAACCATGTTAACTTACTTTTTCATTATAATTGCATTGTACAAGTTCAGGTATATAGTTGTCATTCTCAGAATCATAGTCTGAACTACAGCAAGATGATCTTGAACCAGGACTTGATTCCCAGCCACTACACTGTTCCCTATTGTGAATAAAATGTATTTTATAAAATTAGATCAGTTTTTCAAAATAATACACCTTGTAAGGGGTCAACCATTGGAAATTCTAGGAAAAGGAGATTCTAGAAAAATGAAAATTATTTGTTTTTTCATTCGCTTTGAGCTAGATTTTTTCAGAATAATGTTGCTGTTTTTGTGTTTTTTTATTTTGATATAGCAAATGTGTGTGTTGTTTTATAAATATAATTATGTTTCTGTAATTTCCCTTGTAAAAGATTTTTGGTGCTGATGTTTTTTTTTCAACATTCCCTTTCCTTGAAGTTTCTAATGGTCAACCCTAACTAAATAAAACAAGCTTCTGTAGTGATATAATTATATACTTTAAGGAGATTGAGGTTTTGTTGTATTTTACAGTTATTCAGTGCTTTAATTTTATAATTTGTGTACTGCAGAGGAAACAATTTTAACTTTGCATATTCATTTTATCAATTTAGTACATTTTATCACCAACAAATTAAGAGATAATAAAACCCTGCTAATAATTAAGCCCTATACAGTATACAGTATATTAGCATAATCTTGTAGGTATGTACATTACCTTTTAAGGGGAACATTATGGGTATTTATTTTTCCCAGATTCTCTTCTAGTGTTGCTTTCTTTTCAGGTGGTCCTGTGCTATTATAACAGTATGCTGCTGAATCAGCAGATAAATCACATTGTCTTTTTCTCCATTCAAATGCAGAAGTAAATACATTTTTTGGTGCTGGCTGTGAATATGGCATGTAGGATGTCTATGGAGAAAGAGAGACAAATGAGCATCACGTCAAGTTCAAAAATAATTTCTAAAATTTAACATTCTTCAGGGTCATTGCCCGGATTTTTTTAACTGAACACATTAATATTATTGACTATTCTATAATACTGAAAACATATGGCTGGTATGTTTTTTCAGTCGAGCTGCCTCAGCCTCACTTGTGGTACAATTTTTCATTGGAATTAAGACACCAGTCCTCACAGGACATTTTTAAAAAATATCTCAAAACTTTTCTTTTTAAACAGCGTTTTCAATAGCTTTGATACTTGTGTATTTTTTAGTTTGACTAATGCACTCTGTGGGATATAAAAATGTGTATAATAATGATAATAATATAATAATAATTAAATCAGATGGATGAAATATTTACATTAAGATAAATTTCTAAATTAACCACAACATTTTATTTTTCATGATTTCAATCTTGATAATTGTTTTAGGAAAATTGTACATTGAGATGTAAGTCTCAAAAAATATGATCAATACAGTAATACATACATCAGCTGTCACATCAGGTTTCTTCAAATCTTGGGGACTGGAATTTTCTTTGCCTTGATGAAATTGTAGATTTCTGTTATACTATTGGGATAAAATAACAACTTTTAGAGAACAACATATTTGAATGCTACACAGTAAGATCAAATTTCCACACTGAAAAAATTGTATTTTGAAAAGTTGATCATTCTGAATTGTATCTGTGTCAGCGGACAAATTAAGCACATATTCAGGAATATTTAATGTTTTAACACATAACATAACTAGAACTTTAATTACCATTCTCTACATATTCTGGTAGGAATTTGTGAAAAAGAAAGTGAATATTATGATCGAAAGTGGGCAAAGCTGACATGTAGTATTTCCGTGAAAATTAATTGGTACTGAAGGTGATACTGACAATGTATTGTAAAATCAATAATTTTCACTGATTTACAATTTCAGACATATTCACTGGGTTTTAAATTCACGGTTTCGTCATTTAGATAATGTGTTCTATGCTAAATTTTACATATTCACTGTGTTTTAATTTAGCGCATTTCTTCAGTCAGCGAAATAAGCTAAATTAAAACCCAGTGAATAATTACCCCCTTTACAGTATGAGTTACAATTAATTAAGATTCATGGACTGAATTAACTTATAGTAAAATAACTTATTAGGTTTACTCACAGAATGTTGAATAACATTGTCTTTGGTCACATCTTTAGAGACAGGAACATTCAAAGTTTGTGGAAAAGTATGAGGTCTTAGTGGCAAAGACAATAATTGTGATGACTGTTTGGCACTTGTATAACCTGGCTTATTAGCAGCAGGGAAAAATGCAGTACTGGTAGGATGGGTATATGTGTGGTTAGCATGACCACATGTATTATGACTTCTGTGAAAATAAAATGTGTAGAAATTATTTATTATATTTATTAGGAAATTATACTTCTCTAACATTAACTTTTTTTCACATATAAGATCGAAGAAAGTTAAAACACTAGTCATATGTGCAGTATATGTTTGAATTCATGTAAACAAACAATTTATTTTACATGTGTTGTATACGGTACATTGTTATGGTTCCAATATCGAATCTGACATAGTATATTTAATGTACTTCAGTATCAAATCAATAATTTCATTTAAATCACATTTAAATTTTCACACTGCTATGATATATGAAGAACAAGTTATAAAACATTCTGAAGCTATAGAACACAAACCTTTCTGGAATATCTGAAAGTTGTAGTTTTGATGGAATTTTGCAAGGTGACATAGGCAACTCAATATCTTCATATCTTTTATGCAGTGGTTTGGCTTTGTCTAAGTTGATTTTTATAACATTCGATGAACTGGACTTCCCTATAATAATTAATAACAGAGAACAATAACGAAGCAACCATAACTTTCACCTCAACAGATCAGATGGCTTTTTATTCCACACTTACCAGGGTATATGAGCAGCATTTTTGAAAGTTGAGTTTTGTGTAGAAATGCTGTATATAGTGAACTTTATATATAATGATACTTACACTGCTCACTTCACTCATTTTTTCTCATCTTTTCTTTCATAATTTTAATAATGATTTTATTCATCTTCAGTGTTGCTTAAATTCATTTTGGCATTGGCAAAATTGTTCAAGATTGTGAGTAATGTCCATATATTTTTTGTGGACCTACCTCGTTTTGAATGCAAACCATGTGAGGAGCTGACGGTTTGCAATGATAACAAATCTAGACTAACAGCTTTCAATCTACTATTTGGAGACTCATGGTCTTTAAAACGTTGTACTTTACTGGTGAATCTCTTTTTTTCAAAGTAATCCTGTAATAACAATTATTAAATAGACAGCAGATATGATAGAAAAACAAACATTGAGATTAATGCACAGTCCTCAGTCTGTATTTAATGCCATAGTCCATCACTAAAAGTGATCAAGGATTATGAGGTACTTGTGACTAGAAAGTGGTGTAATCAGTTATTGCAAATATTATTTGTGCATTCACGTATCAGAAAGTATTGTAAAATGTAGTAACTTCCAAAAAATTTTGATCAACTTTAAAGATACTGTTGCCTTGACGGAACTCGTTGATAACCACTGCAGAGATTTTCGCTATATTTTGTGTTTGAATCTCAAAAAAAAAAAAGGAAGTGCATCTCATGATCTGTAATTTCAATATGCATCATGATACAAAGTTTGAATGAAATCACCCTGTTCATTACCGAAAACTGAGTGCAGACACATTTTAAGTAACAGAATTCAGCAAATTTGAGAACCAAAATAGCTGTCAGAGTCAGCTATATTTTATCAAATTTTAAAATAAATTTATGTGCATATGTAAGTCATCATATGGACTTTGTGTTAGGTTTGAATGTGATGGGTCAAGGGATGTCTGAGAAATGGCTTTGGATGAATGGATGGACAGAATCAAAATTAATAGTCATCAATTTTGGGTGAATAATTAGATGCATTGTACCAGTATATGTAACAAGACAAACATCAGTCTCAAATATTGTTATCTACATTCACACTATTCTATGGATATTCCAGCATTCGTATTATATACTATTTAATGTATATACAAATATTACATTTTAGGCACAAGTGTGGAGTTACCAGTAAGTAGTCTCAGATTCTACCTCATTATCCTCAAATTCATAACCTAGCCTCAGATTCAAAACCCAGCAATTGAATCAAACCAGTCAACAAGCATAGTGCACAACATCATTTAAAACAATCAAATGTTATTCAATCAGCCAATCTCTCAATTCAGTTTGAATTGTGAAATTTATAAATACTTATAAAGATGATGGGAATGCTCTTGTTGCACTGCAAGTATCAACTATTTATGTACAAAACTATTATGGGGAAGTGAATATGGTACATACCGACTGCTGTTTCTTTTCCTGTTTCGACCGAATGCGATTCCTTGTATTAGAAAGATAATATAAATAAATCAAATGAACTATGGTTCAATACACGCACCATATAGTAATACCGTTCGAGTGCTCCACGAAATGACTCTTCTCTGATTATCAGAATGCACAGAATACATCACAGTCTCTCTAGAGGGACTGTGTGTTAATCAATCTGTTTGTGACTACCGATATGTCCTTTCGAGGCTGACAATGGTGTACATAAATGTTAGCACAGAGAATTTACAGAGATGGTAATATTTATATACACTAAAATGTATATTGATGGGCCATTCAAATTACTTTTCCTATGCTGAATAGGTGATTTTCCATTCAGTTTGAGATCTTGTTTACCATAATGTGTGAAAGACATGGATCCGATGTCTGCCACAAATATCAAATGATTTGACACTGTCCCTCATGTTTAGGGATGGTGCCCTACTCCATCAAAATTGATGGAAATGCTTTCGATCATATACACAAATTTAGGAAAATCAACAAATAAATGTGTGATTCCTATAGCTTAGGGACGACGTCAAAAGATCGATGTCGTATAAAAAACTCAACCCCCCCCCCACTGAAACTCAATTGATAAATATTGATCATGGTGTCAGACTACATTCACCATTAAATACAAATTGATAATCAGACAGTAGTATGGCATAGCAGTTGGTTGTAATAATGAAGGGGAATATATACGCATGTGCAAACTACTTTTCTGGGTTCTGCGCATGCTCTAGGTCCATGCCCTGAAATTGACCTCATTTGACACACATATTTACACTCCGACCAAACCATTTTCTTCTCTTGGATCTTTTTTTTTCATTTTCTGTTATTTTTTTCCATGATTGGATAGAAAAAAACGAACTACAAATACTCCAAGATTTGTTTGGCTTCATTAAAAAATATTTTTTTTTTTGTAGGATGGAAATTTTTTGAGGTTAACCCCCACCCTCCCCACCTCCAAACTAAAGCAAATAAGTTTTTTATTTGACATTGATCTTTTGACGTCGTCCCTTAGTCCCTTAGTACCGTATATATATTGGTTGAACTTTGAAGAA